ATGCTGTCACTACAACAATACCAAGACTATTACTTAATTTTTTTATTTGGATTTATTCAACTGAATTTTTTAATATTTCCTCACAAATTGGTTTTTATTTATAAAATGTGGAAATGTTGGAGAGTGCATACTCAACTAACACAATTTAAAAGGTAATTACCTGGTTTTAGCAGAGGCAAAATAAAAATGAGCAATGTTCAATATTTTTGTACAACAATGGAGCATTTTATTTTGCCAGGGATTTGTTGCTTACAGTGTGCCCTGTCCTGGATAATCACTTCATTTTTAATATGCAGTATCAATAAATGATAGGACTATTTTTAGTCCTGAGAAACAATATAAAAGAGGTTTATTTTTGCATTTACATTTTTCCTACAGGGGTAGAACTAAAATACCTACTCAGGAAAATTATATCTATTTAATACAATTTGGGAGGTGAGTAATAGCAATCACACCAGTCCAACTGTATTGCTTTTTGCGTACTCTCCATATTCTTTGTGGTAATTACAAGCATACAACTTTTACATTGGGTTTCTTTAGCTTCCCTCTTAAGATGCATAAAAATCTTCTTATTTTAACATTGTACCATAAATTACCATAAATGTTTCCATACTTAATGTTACCTTTCTATTTATAATTGTGTGTGTGTGTGTGTGTGTGTGTGTGTGTGTGTGTGTGTCCCAGTATTGGGGCTTGAACTCAGGGTCTTGCTCTCTGATTTAACTTTTTTGCTCAAGGGTAGTGTTCTACAATTTCACACATGCTTCCATTTCTGGCTTTTTCCTGGGGGAAAAAAGAGTCTTTTAGCCAGCCTGAGCTAGCTTCCAACCTAGATCCTCAGATCTCAGCTTCCTAAGTAGCTAAGATCATAGGCATGAGCCATCAATGCCTGGCATAGTTATAAAGATGTATATACTGTCCAATTACATGCATCATAATTTCCAAAACATGTCTGTGTTATATTTCTGTCACTGTAACAAAATACCAGAAGAAGACGGCTTCTAAGGAAGATAGGTTTATTTTGGTTCATAGTTTCAGAGGTTCCAGCCCATAGCCGCTTGGCTCTGTTGTTTGGGCATGTGGTGGTACAATATATCATGACAGGAGTTGTACTGGAAGAAACTGGTTTACCTCTGGGCAAGTGAGACGCACGAGGAGACAAAAAAAAAAGGGCTAGAGGCCAGAAATGTCCTTTGAGGACATGTGATCAAAGATCTAACTTCCTTCTTTCAGGCCCCTTCTCCACCACTTTCTTCTAGTACTGAGACGAGGACCAAGATTTCATCACATGGGCCTTTGTGGGACCTTCAGGACCCAAACTTCCCATTTTTGATCCTTTAAATTGTTTCTGCATTATATATTGCTTGTAATGCAGCTATTTCATTTTGCTCCTCATGTTGGGCTTCTCGAATTGTTTTCTTGATTTTCCAGATATGGGCTTGCTACTCAACAAGTGTGCATAACTTCCTCAATCTTGATCCATTATATTATATTGCTTTCTAAAAGGACTGTTATACAGCACTTCCTGTTTCAGTGTTCTTTCACAACCACCACTAGCACTACCTGAGGATGGTCCTTGTATTGGGCGTGTGTGGGTAGGTTGATTCATAGTCTCACACTTGGAAAAGAGCTTATGTTTGAGGGTTGTTAAATGGAAAAAATAAAAGACTAGGGCTATCAAATACAGCAAGGGTTGTACCATGGGGGAAGAACATACAAAGAAACAAAAAAAAACCCACACAGTACATTATAAGTACATTAAAAAGAACAAAGAGAAAGATTTTTTGATTTTTAATTTTTTTCCAGTATCCTGCATCATGTATATACATTTTCCTGATTTGGGGAGGGGAAAGGAAATAACAAAATGCTGAAATGAGGGTACAGGATGACCCATTGTAACAATGAGATGTACAAGACATTATGTTGAAAATGAACTTTACAACTTTGCTGGGGGAGGGGGAGAGATGGGGAGGCAGGGAGGAAAAGGGGTGGTAGGGGAAAAACAAAGGAGAGGCTAACAATGATCGATAGCAAATGGATTCATTACCTTGCTCGTGTAACTGTAACCCTTCTGTACAGTATCTTTACAATGAAAATATTTTTTTAAAAGAGACTAGGGCTATGCCATAGCCGAGGTTTCCAGACCTTGACATTTTTCACTTGAACAGTCAATTCTCTTATTTCATGACATTAGATAGCTCATTATGTTCAGCTGATGAGCTATTGTTTTGTGTGTGTTTCTATTGGGGCTAGGTAGAATTTTGAATGTTAGGTCTATCGGAAGTGAGAAAGAGAGCATTGTAGATATAAAGCACAATACAAATGTGACTTACATATAGATGTTCACAAAGCTTAGTTTTCTGACAACATGATGGAGGCAGAAGTTGTAAATGTCCAGGCCGTCAGGGACAGGGTGAAGTGGAAGTACAGGTGTTACCTAAGTGTGGATTCTAGGCCTTGGCTGATGGTTGTCGCTGGGAACATATCCCAGAATCCTTTGAACTCTCTATTGTGTAAAAGAATTTGGAAATTTGGATTTTTATGATTTAATTAAATCTAAATGTGATATAGATAATCTGGATAAATGTGGCAGTTATTAATATAAACTTATTTACTAATTAGTAAATACTGTTGCAGTCAGAATGAAATGTCCCAAAGCTTGATTTTCTCTCTGCTGTCAGTTTGTGACTACTTCCACTTGACTGTACTTACAACCCTGTGAGTTAGGCAGTGAGAACAATTTTTTTTTGTATAAACAAGGACATTGAGGCTCAGAAATCATTGTTCAATAATTTGGCAGCCTGTCCTAATGAATACAGAGCCATTGTTCATTTTCTTCCCTGCTTATAACTTAACTAAAATATAATATCTATAGTACTTTAAGTAGCACTGCTTCCTAGGTTGCACACAAGTGATCAAAGTATGATTTTTATGAGTCACATGACTTGGTGTCATAGGAAAGAAACTTTGCTTAGGTTCACAGTGTTTAAGGAGGGAGATAATAGGACTAAACTTCACAGGGAGTACACCTGAGAGGTGGCATATCCTAACGACAAAGCAAGTGAGTTACATTCAAAATTATACAAGTCCACTTACCCAGGATGAAAACAAACCTTTGTGGAAAGTTACATGTAATTGAAGTCTGAAATACACCTTTACACATGGGTTTCTTTAGAGAAGCTGGCTTGACTGCTGCAGCACAGATCTGCAATGGCACATGGAGAACAGTGCTGGTAGTGGAGGCAAGTCTTCAAAGTTCCAAGGCCACCCTGTCACATCCTGAGCTCATAGACTTTGGAGAATCAGCCAACAGCCTGGTCTTGAATCCTTGCGTTTATATGTGGTTTAGATATTGAGTGCCTCCCCAACAAGTTCTATGTGCTAAATGCTTTATCCCTAGCCAGCCGCCCTCTTAGGAGACAGGGCCTAGTAGGAGATCGTCACGTGATTGGAGGCATGTCCTTGAGCAGGACAATGAAACTCTGGTCTCTTTCTTTCACAGAACAGTTTTGCTTTTCCAGGCACTCCTGCCATGATGGGTTGCTCCTCAACAAACAGAGGCCTAAGAAGCAGAATATTCACCTTCCATGGACCCAAACTCTCAAATCTCTGAGCCAAAAATAAGCCTTTTCTGTTTATAAGCTGACTGTCTCAAGTATCTGGAATAATGGCTAATACAGCTCAGTGACTCATATACTGGGGTCTGATAAGGTTTCTGTAACATCCCCAGGGGGAGGGAGAATATACTGTGTGTTATCTATCACACATGGGATCTGAAAGAATGTGGTACTCAGAGATAAAACATCAAAAATAAAGATGTAAACTCCCAAGCAAAAGTGTCACAGAACAAACTATGCAATCATTTCAAACCTCTGAATCATTTCAAAACAAGTTAACACCTTAGGACAGAAGTCTACACAGCCTTTCTCTATGAAGTGTCGGATAGTAAATATGTTAGACTTTGTAAGACACAGCGTTTCTATTCTAACTGTTCAAATCACCAAAGACAAATAGAAATAATAGGCCTGGTCATGTTCTAGTAAATTGTTTTTTACCCAAAGAGACAGACAACATTCTACTTAAGAGCTGTAAATTTGTCAGTCCCTTCTGTACAAGGAAATTACCTTATATAAATGGTAACGAGTGAGTTAAGTGGCTAAACTCACAATATTATGGTTAAATTCTTTCTTAGTTCTTTGGTTTACTTAAGGTTACTTAAAAATGCTTAACAGATTCACCCTAAGCTACTCTGAAGCTGTAGTGGTATTTTAGGTATAATCAAAGGTATTGGGACAGAGACTCTAAAAGACAGGGGCTCAAATATAACCAAAACATCTTTATATCTTGTGTGTCAGGGTAGACCTGTGGATGTCCAGTGCAAGAAGGGCAACTCTTAAGAGTTATTGAGAACCCTAGATTCTTCTGTTTTATAGTTCTGTCATCCCCAAGTGATGTCTGGGATCACATACTTGGAGCTGTCTCATCTCTATGTATATGTTTCAGTCTGTTGCAAAGAAGGTTCCAGAAGACCTGGGAAAAAGTACTTTTGCCTATAAAATGGCACATACTACTACCACTTAAGTGGTTGCTATCCCTACCCTCAAGAAAAGCTAAGAAAAATGGTATCAAATTTGGATACCATGAATAGAGCTTGGCTAAAATTTGAGAGGCTTTATAATTGGGAAATTAAAAAATAAATAAGGAATGTAGGTGGCAAAAAATAACAAATAGTCTTTGTTCCAATACAGTGTTCATAGTTATAAATAGTTATATCAATAGGAAAATATAATCATTTTTCCAGTTGAAAAAAATGTACCTTTGGACATGCAATAAAATAAAAATATGTTCCTGTTTTTGGTTTTAGATGGCCAGCAACCTTCATGCCAGCTAGCATTTTATGCCAACCTTAAATACCAACAGGAAGTCACTGGACAGAACATTTTTTCTAAGATCATATCTTGCTGTTGGAATAAGTCAAAAAAGAAGAAGAAAAGAGCACTATGGCAAAGATGAATCGATCTGGGTCTGCCACCCCTCCCGATGGAGGCTGGGGCTGGATGATTGTGGCTGGCTGTTTCCTAGTTACCATCTGTACCAGGGCAGTCACCCGGTAGGTGATTTTCTTGTTAATATTTTACAATGACCTGGATTGCCTTTCCTTCTAAATATCCTTTATTCTCTATCTGAAGTCATTGCTATGAAAATCTGTGTGTGTGTGTCTGTGTCTGTGTCTCTGTGTGTGTGTGTTCCCATCGACTGCTCAGGTATCTTTTTTTCTGGAAGTGCTGATTCTCAGGAGTCCTAGATAGTGTCTCTTCTATAGAATCTGGTGTGTGATAGTACTTTTTTGGGGAGTGTTAGGTATTTTTGGACCAAATCTAATGGCTATTCCAGTAATTTCCCCCCATGAATAGCTCTAGAAGATGTGAAAATGTATGATAAATATACCTTTTTTAATCATCTTTCACTTATTATTATTAATTTTAAATATGAAAGAATATAAACAATATAGCAGTTGTCCTGATTTGCTCATTAGAAGAAGAGTTTGTTACACCATATTTTCATAATTAATCCATTATCAAGGTTTTAAAGATTTACTAAATGACAGTAAGTTGGCATAAGTTGATGTGACTCCAGGGATGTTAATTTCTGCAAATTCATTTTCCAGATGATAATTATTAATTAGGGTAAATCTTAACCATTAAGATTTTACAGTGGAAGAGCTGGGTGCTGGTGGCTCACGCTTCTAATCCTAGCTACTCAGGAGGCTGAGATCTGAGGATCAAAGCCAGCCTGGGCAGGAAAGTCCATGAAACTCTTATTTCCAATAAACCACAAAAAAACCAGAAGTGGTGTTGTAGCTCAAGTGGTAGAGCGCTAGCCTTGAGCTGAAGAGTGCAGGGACAGCGCTCAAGCCCAGAGTTCAAGCCCCATGACGGACAAAATAAAAAGATTTTACAGTGGAAACAGAGCTAATGGACTATATGATTCAAAACTCACAAATTAAAAAAACTGAGATAATAGATCATAATTTGTAACATATGTTTTTAAGCCTAAAGATGAAGAAAATTACGTTAAGTAACAAAAGTATGATTATAAATTTAGAGATTTGTGAACATATCACATGAAATTCATTTTTACGGACGTATGTGCTATATTTATCTTAGAAGAAGAAAATATGATTTTTAAAATAATCCTTGAAAATCTCTTAGTTCACCAGGTGCTAAGCCATTGGAAGCTTGGAACCTAGAATTCAAATTAGTTTTGCGCAAGCATAAATTACTGAAAATCAAAGTGTGCTAAACATAATTGATAAATATAGACTGAGAAAGAGACAAACTGTGTCCTGAAAAGTCATGGCAGCCTTTCTAGACTACTACCTGGAGTGAGATCTTAAGGAATGGAAAGTATTTGTCCTGGGAGAAATGAAAGAGAAATATGCCTGTAGCCGAGTTCATGCCATGAGCTGAATCTGTCTCTCTGGGTGGTCACAATTAGCAGTCTCCACTCCTGAAGAGCCAAGGCCCCATGGATATGAAATGAAAGTTAAGCTGCACAGTTAATCAACTCCTGAGCTGACTTAGTAAATGACTTCAAAGCAGTGAGATGTTATAGCATTTCATTTGAGAACAGATAGGAAGTGATGTAATAGTCTTTCATAACAAATCATATGCTATTCAAAAGCATGTTTGTGCCTTCTTAAATTTTACCTCTAGCTAAAGGTCTGAAAAGGTTAAACAAGCATCTAATACACCTTCCTTTCTTACATATCTAGCTTCCCTCCTATGACTGGATAGGTTACTGAAGAAAACTGACAAGCAGACAAGAAAATAAAGCAAGGTTCTGAAAGGTCCACCCTGGGAAGGCGCGGTAGACTCTCAGAGACTTAGCCAAGGGGAGGAAGGAGTTGGCTGATTGTTTCAACCTCTGTCACACTCAGATTTCTCACACTCCTCCTCTCCTTCTCCTAGCTTTGGGTTCCTATACCCTAGACGTCAGCCAGTTTTCTCTTCCCCTTTTCACTCATAATTCTTGAAGTTGTTGTTGATTTTCATTTTCTTATATTATAGTCACTTCCTCTACCAAGTGGAATCCTTTCTTCTTTCCTTCTTCCTTTCTTCCTGAATGTGTCTTCATTCATTTGTTTGTTCCCTTCTTCTTTCTTTTCTTCCCTTGGAAAACATTGATGAGAACCCAGTCCATAACAGGTAGTAAACTAGATGTTAGGGACTCAGTGTGGGATATGACAGACGTGCTTTTGCTGTCAAGGAGCACAGTTGAATAGAGAATACAAACAGATGCAAAGGAAATTGTCTGTCCTGTGGCAGAATTTCACGAGAGGCAGTGATCCAAGTCTTAGGCATTAAGGGTGTAGACAGGGAAGACTTCTTGGAGGAGTGTATGGTTACTCTGCATCTAATACAATGAGAGAGGCAAGGAGAACATCCTAGCAAAGAAAAAAAAGACATGAAGCTTTAGAAGTGTGCAAAACCTTGGCCATGTGTGGTAAGAAGCAGGGAGGAGTTGAGCCTTACTGCAGTGAAGAGCCCAACAGGTGTGCTGAAAGGAGAGACAAAAACAGGGCTAACTCATGCCATCTCATAAAAAAAGGGGAGAAGGCTTGAAGCATGTGGACCCGATGCGTATTCTAGAAAGGTCACTGTGACCGTTGTGTGTAGAATGTACTGAAGGCAGCCATGTGTGGCACTGGAAAGATCAGTGAGAAGCCCTTGGGATGCAGTCCATACTCCAGGCTCTGACGTAATTGCTAAGCTGGCCTCAGACCTACTGGTCTGCCCAATCACTTGGTGGAAGACGGCTTCTTTTGTATTCTTTGACAATGGGATTTGTGTGAACGTTCGGTGTGGAGACAGTGAAGAGGGACTTCAGTGGATCTGAGATGTTCCCCACAGATGGCCTCAGCTGCAGCACATGCCTGGCACCTGGCCTTGTAGCTGCCAGTTCTCAGTAGCTCCTCAGAGGCAGGAAGCTGCCTCTCCTCATGGGTCCTGCAGGGGGCACCACGTCTAACAGGCTGCACTACTTGCTTGGAGCCCATCTGAAGGTTTATCAGACCTATCTCACACGTTTACCTTTCTCTCTGCCTAATCCTGCCTTTTTCTTATTCCTTCTATCAGGAAGAAATCTACAGTCTATAACCTCCAGACTGGATTCTATGCCAGTGCGTGCTGAGATTTAGAAATTAACTTTCCATACAAATCTCCTTTCTCTTAACTAATACCAAGACTCACTCCCTCCCCCTTTCCTTCCTTCCTTCCTTCCTTCGATCCTTTCTTCGTTCCTTCCTTCCTCCCTTCCTCCCTCCCTCTCTTCCTTCCTTCGTTCGTTCCTTCTTTCCTCCCTCCCTCTCTCCCTTCCTTCTCCTTCCTTCCTTCCTTCCTTCCTCTCTCTACAAGTATACTTATATCATACTGGGGGTTGAACTCAGGACCTTGAACCATGGCTCCAGCCCTTATTGTTCTAGTTGTTACTATTTTACATGCTCTCATGGCTTTGTTCAGAGCCAGCCTTGGACCATGATCCTCCTACTTGTGTCTCTCATGTTATTGAGCTTGTGGATGCTCTCACTATTCTCTGGTTGATTGTTGAGATGGGATCTTGCTTACTTTTTGTGGTCTGTCCTTGAACTGTGATCCTTCCAAACTATGCTTCCAGAACATTTTCTTGTTCTGCTTTCTCAACTTCTCCTGTTGTTTTTTTTTACTTGATGTTTAATGTTGTAAGCCAAGAATAGTGAGTTTCTTAAACTATGCACGCACAGATTTGCTATTTATCTTTATGTTATACAACCCAGCTTTATTTTTTACTTTTTTTGTTTTACTGAGGTTGGAACTCGGGATCTCTTGATTGCTAGGCAGGCACTCTACCACTCTGTCAGAAACTTTAACAGTAGGTTATTTTTCAGGTGGAGTCTTCTTTCTTTATCTAAAGCTGATCTCAAACTGAAATCCTCTTCCTTCTGTCTCCTGTGTAGCTGGGATTATAGGCAAGCAACAGCCCGACCTGCTTGTTTTGTTAAGATAAGATCTTACTAACATTTTACCTGGGCTGTGTGGTTTTCTCTGACTCCCAAGTAGATGGGAGCAACCATGCCCAATCATAATGGCAATTTTAACTGCAAACATGAGTATAGAACATGTATGTTGAATAACTGAAAGAATACAACTCACTAGGGGGTGTGTGAGGGTGGGAGTGGAGCTGGGAAGGGATGGGAAGGGGAAACAAAAGAGGAGGCAACAATGCTTGATAAGAAATATACTCACTGTCTTGCCCATGTAATTGTAACCCCTCTGTATGGTATTTTCACAATAAAAAAAAATACAGCTCACATTTTGTACATGTGTTTGTATTTCATTTTTTTCAGGACAGTGGAAATCCTGCATAAAGCAACTTCATCGGTTTTTCATTTGCTTTTCTGACACCTGCATCTACCTTCTTTCTTCCCAGTCACCACACTCAATCTAAGTGGTTACCTGTAGTACAGGTAGTAACAGGAATTCTTGGTCTTTTGTGATTTATAATCCAGTCTGTCTTTGCATTTGAATGAAGTTCCTTGAATTGTGGGTGTACTGGAATTCTGTACTCATAGGACTCTGTGAGTGTGTGTGTGTGTGTGTTTGTGTGTGTGTGTGTATGGTTGAGACTGAGGCTTGAACTTGGGGCCTTGTTCTCTCTCAGCTTTTTTACTTAAGGCTGGCAATTTACCACTTGAGCCTCGCCTCCATTCCCAGCTTTTTGCTGGTAGAGGTAAGAGTCTCACTTAACATTTTTGCCCAGGCTGGCTTTGACCTGGGATACTCAGATCTCAGCCTCTTGAGTAGATGGGATTACAGGCATGAGCCGCTGGCACTCAGCAACTCATAGGACATTTCCAAAACTACATGCAATTGTGGAAGCGAAGAAGAGCCGACACATGCAAACATCTCCTCCACTCTCATGCAGCCGCTGAAGTCCCATTGGACTTCTTTTAGAAAACCCACATTCAACGATAAAATTGCTCATTTTTAGCTATTTTAACAGACTCAAGTGTCATGCTCTTGAGTGCCAGACTTGGTTGGACTATGTAGAATGTTCTGCCCTGAGGCTGGCCCTACCTAATGCAGCTGTCCTGATGCCACCTCCAAACTCAATGCCCCCATCTTCACAGCAACAGGAAGGGAGAAAGAGAGCGCAAACAAGTAGTGACTGTGGGTTACTGAAGCACCATGAGCTGGAATTCAGACCTAGCCCAAGGCTGCAAGGCCTCAGTTCTTCCTGTTATCACCCACATCTGAAAGCATCTGGCCCTGAATCAGGACACCAGAGGAGGCTCCTCATAATGGGTGTGGTCATGCACACTGTTTCTTCTGCCTTATTTGTGTCTTTCCTTCACTAGGCAATTAACATTTTTTGATGCAAACATTTCTGCCTGTGAGTACATACACATGCATGTACAGATCTAGACACACACACACACCTACCTCTGACTATGTAAAGAAACAATCTCGATTCTCAAGTAATTAAAAATGCATAATCAGATGAAAACAATCATTTGTGTTTCAACGCTCATGTCTCATTTAGTAGATTATAATGTATTTGTTTTCAGACTTTTTCAATTTACCTAAACTCAAAAAATGTGACATTTTTATAGGAAGTATTTCATAACAATTTGTAACATATGATGAATTTATTTCCAAATCTTTAGATGCAGAACAACATCAGCATTTTAATATTTAGTAATATAGCATTTAATTTTTATTAATAAACCATACTTTGTTTTATTTATTGATAAAGACTTAAGTTATAATATTTGACTACATAAATAGTTCTCCAAATGGGAATATAATTAGTCATCAATACAGTCTTTTGGGGCTTGGTTTTTTCCTCATACAGATGAATACTGCCTCAAATGCTTTCTCTATAGCAATTAGACCCTGCCACATCTGTAGCACTTGGCCGCATTCATAAATCTGAGGTGACCTATAGCTTTCCTAACATTTCTCTGGCTCACCTCTCCTGCTAAGCTTTGCTTTTTGGGAGTACTTCAAACCTCTGCCACTACCAAAACTCCTACTGCTTCTGGAACCATATTAGCCACCACTTTGGTTGATGATGTGGAAAAGTATTGTCCCACACTACCACAGGGGCCAGAGCTTACAACCATTTTCTTCCCTTTCTTTTCTTTCTTTTTCTTTTTTTTTTGGGGTGGGGGTCCGGTCGTGGGGCCTGAACTCTGGGCCTGGGCACTGTCCCTCAGCTCTTCAGCTCAAGGCTAGTGCTCTACCACTTGAGCCACAGCACCACTTCCGGCTTTTTTTTCTTTTTGCTTATGTGGTGCTGAGGAATTGAACCCAGGGCCTCCTGCATGCAAGGCAAGTGCTCTACCACTGAGCCACCTTCCCAGCCCCCCATTTTCTTCCCTTTCTGAGTCCAAAATTTGAAGGCTGGATGTTATAATTGCCCAAATCATTATAGCTCCCACCACCTCTAAAACTATTTCCATCATTACCAAGTCTGTTGCCACCCCCATTACTACCATATGTACCACTGTCACAGCTACCACCAAAGCCATCACTGAAGTTTCCTTCAAGACCAAAATTGTCGTTGACATCAAAACCCAATCCAAAGACTGCCACTGAAGTTTCCAGAATCACTTGGGCCTCTTTGGCTAGACTAAGCATTAGGCTAAGCATTGCTTCACCAGAACTATCTTTTCAATTAAGTGGGCACCTGGACATCGCAATCTTCTCTTGGGACAGCTGTGTTTGGTTGAACAATTCTTTCAACCCTACTGTGGGGCTCTGTATTCATGGATGCATCTGTCTCCTCCACAGTGACACAAGTGACAAACACAAAGCCCTGGGGAACTCGGTGTTTGGGTCGTTTGTTACCATACATGTCTTCTCCATTGCTCAAAATGGCTCCTTAAACTCTCACTGGTTCTGCAGCTTCTCCAGTTGCTTGGGTTATAGGTGCTTGGGCTACATTTTAGGAGATTCTAACTTCATTCATGGAAAAGGAGAAAGCTATATCCTATAGCCATGTTTAGAAGTTAACAGATGTTAACAAAATATCAAGGTGACTAAAAACCAGGTTCTTGACCTGTTGTCTTATCCAAAAATAATTTTCCTTGGAGCAGTGGTCTTTGCAGCTACATGTCTATAGCAACTCCTCTGGTGGTTGAACGCTTTGATTTTGGTTCTTCGAAGTGGCCCAAATGGCCAGCTTTTGATTTCCCACTTGTTTTTGGTCCAGTGATTGAAGCTGTTGGAGACTGGATCTGAAACCTTTAAGTTCTGGCTCAATTCCACATTAATTTACCTTTCATGTCTGCATTGTATTTTTCAGATGTATCTCAATATTTTTTGTGGAGTTCCAGACATACTTTTCTCAGGATTATTCACAAACAGCATGGATCCATTCCATTGTAGATTGTATGACAATGCTCTGTGGTAAGTGTCACTTACTAGCATAGATAACCATAGTCTACCCTTGAACTGCACATGACAGTGACCTTTGACATGTCCAATAACACTAAATTGGATTGCCAATGTTTCTAAGTAGTTAAAAATTGACTAAGATAGTATAAAAGAAAATATAAATCTTATCAATCCTACCATCAACTGAACCTACCTGAATGTGCTCTTGTAATTAATGGTCTTGACTAATGCTGGAAGAGGTTGGTAATATGCTAAAAATTACCTGTACTATATGGTTCTTCTATTTGGAGATAGGGTGAGCATTTTAGAATTTGTACTAATTTCAACAGTGGCTTTCATGTAGTGTATGCATGAATAATTACTTCAAATGTTATGTCCTTCTCATTCTTCAGGCACATAAGCAATCAGTGGATAGGCTCATGAGCCATTTCTGTATCATTTCCTTAAAACATGTCAACAATTTTGCACCACATCTGATGTCTTGGTTTGTATTCTGCTCCATTCCTAGAGGTTTCCAAATTGGATTCATGTATAACATCTTTTCATGCAAAAATCTTCATGCTTACAGAAGTGGGAATATACAGGCTTGAATAATCAGGAGTTAAACAGTTCTACCATGTGTAAGTTTCATTCAAGAACAGTTAAAGGCTCTTTAGCACATGTAGAAAGTCCTAGAAGTTCATGGAACCCAACATTGCATCTACCTAGCAGAAGATAACAAATGTTGAAAGATTTTTTAATATAAATTTCAAGCCAGATTTCTGAAATTGGCTTATTATTGATTTTCTAAGACTGCGTTAAAAATTGTGATTATTTGTTTACAGCCTCAGTTCAACTAATTCTTTTATTTAGATGACTCTTAAGTATTTTAGAAAGCTTTTGTGCCTTTGGGTCATGTCTCCAGGCATAATACTTTCTTTATCTGAGGTCATTCTAGGTACTGACTCATTTTTTTTAAGAAAAAAAGCATACATGTAGATAAATGAAGAGAAGTGAGTACAATGAAATCATGAATTCAATGCATATCCTACCAATAAGAAAAGTGAAGGGAGGTGTGTGTGTTGGGAGGGTTGGGTGAGAATTTTGAAAGGGGTGACATTGATCAAGACACTTTGTATCATAAACTGCTTTGTGGAACGGCAACTTCTTTGCACAACTAGAGATAATGAAAATATTTTAAAAAGCAAAAAAAATCAAACATAGGCAGGAATCGCTGGATTATTCTAAAATGTATTTTTTGATTACAAGGAACTTGAGAGCAATTCTAGAATTAAAGTAAGTGTTATGAAAGCAGGGTTTCTTATACTCTTAACTAATATGAACGTTGCCAGGAATTGAAAGACCCTACATTTTTTTTGTAGCCCTACCTTTTTTTGTTCCTTCACCAGACTGGATTTTCAGGGTCATGCTTTGAATCACAGTATTTGTCTTTCTCAGAGAATGTGGGTGTAGTATTTTCCTCACTGTTATCTCTTGGAGAATATTTATAATCCCTATAGAGAAGCAAATGGTTTTAAATGACTAATATGGATGATTAGGTAGACTCTGAGCATTTCATGCCAGTAGCAGTGTATTTAAAGTCTATGCAAGACAGTGAGACCTTCTACCCCACTTCCCATACACATATAGTATCCCCATGTAATGTATTTGAAACAGGAGGATGTAGAGTATAAAATTTAGAGTGAAATACTACAGAGTTGGATATTGGACATGCAGTGAGAAAATTTTTCTTATCATAAACAGAGAAATGAAACTTGTTGAGTTTGTTGCAGATTTGAATGTGAATTCTGCCACTTTCCAGTGATCATATGAGGTGAATCCATGAAGATTCAGTACTTCCAGGACATTTGTTCATTCTTACCAGTCACCATTTTACCTAGGTAGGAGGTCAGTGAAAATTGAGAGGAAATGCTGATAACTGAGTCTGCCACATACATTTGAGCAAGTCCACAATTTCAAGGCGACCAAAAATGGTCATATTATGCAGAAACCAGTGAATCAGCTCTTTTGACCTTGTTCCAAGGAGGAGTGGTGTTAGCACATGTTGTTTTCTCCACTCGTCACATTTCCTTTCTCCGTCAAGTATCTGTTATCATGATTGCCAATGATGTTTGATCAATACCCCATCAAACATGCAGTTAAGCAGAGTTGATTTCTTGTTTGAAAAACACCCAAAAGTCTGAGTAATAGGATGAAGATAGGAATAAGCATATTTCAGTGCAAACCAGGCCACTTGAGTTTTATTCTAGCTCTGGTCTTTATTCTGTGTGAGTTTGGACGAATCACTTCTCTCTGGGCCCCATTTTCCAAGGTTATAAAATTACTGGGGTGCGCTTGATGCTTTAAAGCTCAGTTGTTCTCTGTTCTTCCAGTGTACCCATGTAGCCTTTTGTCAGGCCTCTCAAAGGCTTTTGTTGACCTTATTTATTATTGTTTTTGAAGCTCCACTTGGGAGTGTGGTCAGTAACCATTTATCCTGCCAAGTGGGAATTATACTGGGTGGCTTGCTTGCATCTACTGGTTTCATCTTGAGCTCATTTGCCACCAGCCTGAAGCATCTCTACCTCACTCTGGGAGTTCTTACAGGTAAGGGCACTTTGTACTACCAATCTCACCCACTCTCTTCAGGTGTTGCCAAGTACGTCAACAGATCAGTGATTCATAAAATATTTATTTTGTTAAATGCATACTTTAGTTGACATAGCTTATGTTTGCCTACCTAGCAGTTAAATGGAGATGATAATGAGATTGTATGCCCTCAATGAAAATGCATTAATACTTTAATTTAGTCATGTGATAAAAAGCAACTGCTGCTCTTCCCTTTGGCTTTAGTGTATGGGTGTGATTCTGTACTGAAGAAATAAAGCATTAGTCAGCTCAGTACGAATTGTCAGTAGTGATTATTACCCCCAAGTATCATTACTAAGACTATTACTATTGTTGTTATTTATGGTCTATGTATTAAACCCTGGGTCTTGTCCTTACTAGATAAGTGCTTTATCACTTAAGCCTTATCTTCATCTCCCTTCTTAAAAAAATTATTTTTGAGATAGGGTGTTGCTAATTTAGTCCTGGCTAACATTGAATTTGGGGTTACAGACATATGCTACCATACCCTAATTACAAAGACACAAAATATCTGTTTTCAACTTGAATTATCCTTGCTTTATAATAAATATTATTACCCAATAAGTTAGAATTCTCAATTTTAAAAATGAATGGCCTTTGTGAATACTCTTATATTGCACATTTTCTCTCAATATTAGAATATCACATTGAAGATGCATAATTAATGCATCGAGATACAACATATGTACATCTATAAATCACACTTTCAGGGCTCTAATGAGATCAAGCTGGGGTTGGTTGATGAGAATGGAGTAGCAGTTTACTCATCCACTCAGAGAAAGAGACATGAGATCCATCTCTGTCTGTGCACTGGGCCACAGAAGTTGAATGAATCAGCCCAGTATAGGATATAACCTCATAGCGAAGATGTAATATGGCTCTTGCAGCTTAAGAAGACATACCCACCCCTGTAACTGAAAAATCTGACTGCTAAGGTCAGATAGTCCCCATGTACTATTCTGATTTTGTACACTAAGAACTTCCATAGTTTCCAGTGCTGCATCCAGAAAACCCTCAGTCTTGGCAACTCTAGATCGCTAAGCACCTGCACTGTAGATGGAAGCAGGAACGGAAGGTGATTTTCCTTTCCCACCTCTGATATTCTAGATGCTGTGAAATTCAGGCTTAAAGCCCATGGGATTTTTCTAAACACTAGAGGCAAAAGAAGCTAAAAACTTTTTAGAAAACATTCTTCACTATCAATATTTTGTTCTCCAGGGACCTTAGCGATAGTTTCAGGTTGTTTGGTATTTCCCAACTATTTGAAATGATTCAGATACTTTTTTTTTCCCTGATCTTAGGGCTTGACTCTGGGCCTGGGAACTGTCCTTGAGCTCCTTTTGCTCAAGACTAGCACTCTACCCCTTGAGCCACAGGTCCACTTGTGGCTTTTTCCATGATTAACTGGAGATAAGAGTCTCATGGACTTTTCTACTTGGGCTGGCTTCAAACCATGATCCTCAGATCTCCACTTCCTGGGTAGCTAGGATTACAGGTGTGAGACACCAGCTCCACCTGCCTCTGATACTTCCATGGAGTCCTTCTCGCTATTCAGCCTAGATTCCAGAGGAGTACAGATTACTAGTGTTGTGTGTTCACAGGCAGTGAGGAGTTGAGATGACTCGCCAGATAACTTATGAGAAGGAAGGGAAAGATCAGTTTCCTTTGATTAATATTATCTAGATTTTCTAATAAATTTTAGCTTACACTGAATAATGATTTTTTAAGTATTTCCTCTGATTTTAAGAAGCCATGTTTTCAAGTATGTTCTTCCTATTAAGAAAGTCACACACCTTCTGTGTTTTTCGAATTGTGGATAGCTGGAGTGGGGTGTTCCCGCCATCTTTCTGTGCACGGACAGCTTTAAGGAGTTCCACATAGGTCAGATTCTCTTCTATCAAAACCATCTCAGTCTGAGATCGCTTTTCCCACCTGCTGCTCATGATATACCAGTACTCACAGAGGTTTCTCTCTCCCAGGTCTTGGATTTGCACTCTGTTACTCTCCAGCTATTGCCATGGTGGGCAAGTATTTCAGCAGACGGAAAGCCCTTGCTTATGGGCTTGCCATGTCGGGGAGCGGCATTGGCACCTTCATCCTGGCTCCTGTGGTTCAGCTCCTCATTGAACGGTTTTCCTGGCAGGGAGCATTACTCATTCTTGGGGGATTTGTTTTGAATCTCTGTGTTTGTGGTGCCTTGATGCGGCCACTCGCTGTTAAAGAGGACCATTCCAGTCCTGAGCAGAACCATACCTGTCTAAATGAGAAAGAAGACTCCAAGCGGACATCTCCCTATTCACCTTTCACCAAAGAATGGGTGCAGACTTGCCTTTGTGGCTCTTTACAGCAGGAATACAGCTTTTTACTGATGACAGACTTTGTGGTGTTGGCCATCTCTGTTCTGTTTATGGCTTATGGCTGCAGCCCACTTTTTGTTTATTTGGTGCCTTATGCTTTGAGTGTTGGAGTAAGTTACCAGCAAGCTGCTTTTCTTATGTCCATACTTGGAGTGATTGATATTGTTGGCAACATCACATTTGGATGGCTAACTGACAGAAGGTAAGATTTGTGAAAACCCAATTGGTCACCTCTCTGGCCACCTCTGGGAATTTAAACTTTGAACATCCCTCACCTTTTACCGTATTAAGTACCTACATCTTTCGAAGGTTCTCGAGTATTCAGTATCTGAAGGCAACTTCTCTGCTTAGAGTCTGGCAAATGATTTTTGTCAATGGACATAGAGAAAATGTGTTTTGGCTTTGTCTTCAATCTTTGTCATAAATACCCTATGTTGTCAGTCCTAAACTAGATGCTAACAAATGAAAGTAGCTGTGTTCTAATGAGACTTCACATGTGTTGAAATTAGAATTTCTCCTGCAAACTTTTATGTCACAAAATACTATTTAAAAATAATTTCTCTGAATGTTTTAAAATGCAAACGCATTCTTTTTTGACAGGTAAGTCACAAAGGCAGATAGTGGGCTAGATTTGGTCATAAATTGTCCACCTTTGTTCTAGATGTTTTAAGATAGCAAATCTGCTTAAACTGCCAAAGCCAAGGATAACTACAAGTTCTGATTGTACATTTAATATCATTTCAAGTCAGTTCAGTCCCTGATAAAAGATAGCTTCTGGCTAGGTTTTGTGGTTTTAGTTGTTTGTGAATTGCTACAGAGACTGGTTAGGAATGGAAACTGGAGAAGAATCCAGTCCAGGAAGGAGAACCAGGTACACATTATCTGTAGCCACATGTTTATTTTGATAGTGAGATAGTATTTACATTTATTAGGTTGTAAGCTTAGAACCCAAAATAATAGGAAATCTACCAATGCCCATCTGTTTGAATGAAGAGCCTAAGCTACTCATCGTCTCCTAAATGAAAGGCTTTCTCTTCTTGAATTATGACCTGGGAAAGCCTCAATCATATAGCTTCTCATAAATTGTGTCTTTGGTAATGAATCATGATCCAATATTGTAACACTGAAGTTTAATTCCACATTGTTTTTGGTGTGGTGCTAGAGACAGAACTGAGGATCTTGTGCAGGCTATGTAAGGACTATATAACTAAACTATATTTCTAACCCCTTCATACTGTTAATTAAGAAAAACAGAAAAAAACAAAAGAAAAAAAAAGAGGACTGGGAAGGTGGCTCAGTGGTAGAGCACTTGCCTTGCATGCATGAAGCCCTGGGTTTGATTCCTCAGCACCACATAAACAGAAGAAGCCAGAAGTGGTGCTAGCCTTGAGCTGAAGAGCTGAGGGACAGCACCCAGGCCCAGAGTTCAGACCCTATTACCGACAAAAAAAAAAGAAAGAAAGTAAAAAAGGAGAGGAGCAAGGGAAATCAAATTCAATCAACTAATTCAACAAGAAGTGGCCTGTTGTAGACCTGAGGGCCTGTAACAACTGGTTTAAGATCCATAAGACATAGGTTTGGGAGTCAGCTCTGCCCTGTGACACAGGGCAGAATCACCTAATTCTCAGATTATCAAGCATCTTCACCTGTCAGATGATTCAGTGCAATATTTGCCTGTCAACCTCACCATTTTTTTGAGACTCACATGATATTTTGTGTAGACAAACATTTATAAAGAAGAAACCATTATAGCTGTCATTATTCAGAATCTTTGAAATAACTGAACTTATGGATGAATTTGGAATTACAGAAGGAAACTAATAGTAGTGTCACTTGAAAAGTCTTGAAATAAGACTTAGTCCTAGTACAAGGCCATCACCACCTCTGAAAGTTCATTTTAATATCTTTCCGTTTCCCCTTTGTTTAAGCACTTGGTTTGTTGATCATCTATGATGTGCTGCATAATGTCTCTGGAAGCATTCAATATAGTAGATTACCAGAAAATATCAGCCTTCTGACATGTTACGTATTATTTCACAACCATCTCTAGAGTCATCTTATGAAATATTTAACATTCTCATCTAATAGTGAAATAATTTGAGGTCAGAGGTAGGTAGCAGGATTAAAACCATCTACATTTCTAATTTTAGACCTCATTTTCGCTCTACCAGAACATGCGTCCCAGGGAGATAAAACCTTGCATTTATGTATACCAAAAGATAGGTAGCACCTATAACATCTGAGAGGAAGCAAGCTGTATAAATACTTGTGATGCTTACTGCTGCATGGCATGGTTATGAAGTCCTTTTATAGAACCGATGCTTGTTCTTCAAATCCACAGGTGTCTGAAGAATTACCGGTATATTTGCTACCTCTTTGCTCTGGGACTAGACGGGCTATGCTATCTCTGCCTCCCAATGCTTCAAAGTCTTGCCCTCCTTGTGCCTTTCTCTTGTATCTTTGGCTACTTTGATGGAGCCTATGTGACCTTGATCCCAGTAGTAACTGCGGAAATAGTGGGAACCACCTCTTTGTCCTCAGCACTCGGTGTGATATACTTCCTTCATGCCGTGCCATACTTGGTGAGCCCACCCATTGCAGGTAGGTTTTGGGAGAGATGTCCCAACCACTTTTATCATATTGCTATGAAAAGGATGGATATACACACGTGTACACACACATATCACACACACACACACACACACACACACACACACACACACACACACACACACAATTGGCAAGAGAATTCAGAATGAAAGAGAGCAGGTTTACCAGAGCCATCCCTAAACATGATCTCCCTATCACTTTGGTCTATAATTTTCTTACACTAAGTGGCGGGGGGGGGAAGAGGGGGAGGCTTAATACCTCAAAAGAAAAAATCCCCAGCTACAATCTTGGATCCATTCCATGCTAATGATGGGAGCATATAGAATGTCTTGAGTGCCAGGCATAGGAACTGGACTCGTGATTCTTCATTTCCCATTTACACCAAATGTGGGCACTGTTAATGCTTTTGTGCAAAAGGGAAATGGTGGAAAGTGCAATTTTAGGGAATATGATGTGAAAATTAATTTAGTGATTAGGGTCAAAGGTAAATTAAGGTTCTATTTTAATAGATTAGGATCAAACTGATAATAATATAGAGTAGTGCTACAGATAAGGAGGAAATTTTGAAAAAAATATCAAGTTCATCATATGGAGAGGAAGGAGAAAAAGAAGTGAAAGATTGCTGCTGAAACAAACACAGAAATAAGAGACAGTGGTCTTGTATGAGAGTTGAAGGACTTCAAATTTAGATATGTTGATATATCTGAAGTAAGAAGGTAATAATTCTCAATGGAGCTTTGCAAGAAAATCTTCAGAGAAAGAGCATATTTGAATATACAAACTTGGGAGCCTTCAAGGAAAATACCCAGAATGTTTTGTAAACTGTGAAATGTTATAAAAACTTAGAGCAGGATTATGCAATTAACTTAACCAATATTGCATACATTAAGTAAGTATTTAAGCAAATTTTTATCACTTTTTTGTGTGTGTTTGCCAGTCCTGGGGCTTGAACTCAGGGCTTGGGCAATGCTCCCTGTGTATTATTTTTGCTCAAAGCTAGCACTCCACCACTTGAATCCAGATTCACTTCGGTTTGGGTTTTCTTTTTCTTTTGGTAGTTTATTGAAGGTAAGAGTCTTACAGACTTTCTTGCCCAGGCTGGCTTTGAATCACAATCCTCAGATCTCAGCTTTCTGAATAGCTAGTATTACAGGTGTAAGCCACCAATGACTGTCTTATTACTTTCATAATCCAGTGCCTGGGGCACTTAGTGACCCAACAGCAGATAGGTCAGAACCTGTTTCTCCTTTCTGGAGCGTGCTGTCTAGACCAATGTCTCTGGAAATGAGATGTTGGGACCCTTGATTTTCATTGTGGCCTTGTTAAAATACAGACTCCTTGACTCTCCCATTTAGGACCTGATTTGTTAGGGGCAGGTCCCAGGGAAGTGGCTGAAAGTCTCAACCATCTTCCTTGCGATCCATAATAACACCGGAGTCTGAAGGTCCAGATTTTTACCAGTCTAAGTCAAAACCTCTTTGAAGCTTGTTATATTACTTTAGAGAGAGTGTGGATGCACTTTTCATGATCACATTCTCTTAACACCCTGCATGAATTATCCCAAATTTCAATCACTCAAATGATATTGACAGAGGACACACAACAAAATTTTGAATTTTTGTATTTACTAGATTCCATGAGATTAATAATAGCTAATATCTATTGTATGATTATTAAGTACATAGCACTGTTATAAGTGCTTTAAGAATTAGTAACAACTATAAATTTATCTTAGCAGTTGCCCTAAAATAGTATTTCTCAGTATAATATTTTTAGGCAAGCTGTTTTCTATCTCAAAATTTTAATGATGGTCCGACAATCAACTGTTATTATCCTTACAAATAATGAGATTTGTGAGAGAGTGGGTAAGCACAGTAATTGAATCTTCAGCTCCACAATGTAATTTTGTTGTTGTTTGTTTGTTATAGGGTGGCTGATGGATAAGACTGGCAGCTACACTGCGTCATTCCTTCTCTGTGGATTTTCCATGGTCTTTAGTTCTGTATTGCTTGGCTTTGCAAGGCTTGTAAAGAAGATGAAAAGAACCCAGCTGCAGTTCCTTGCCAAAGAATCAGAACCCAAGCTTCAGCTATGGACCAATGGATCAGTGGCTTATTCTGTAGCAAGAGAATTAGATAAGAAAGATGAGGAAGCCCTGGCTACTGCAGTGCCTGGCTATGACCTCACATGACCAACAAATGGCTTGGCGCCCAATGGAGTTGGGGCCACAAGACTGTTCACTTTTCAACAAAGTATTGCCTTCTGAGAAGCATTATTATCCTGCTTTTGTTAACATATTTATAAAGAAAAGTAGCAAATAATATAATAATAACAACAACAACAACTCAACTTGCCTAGAGTTTCCTCATTTGGGAGTTGTATTCAAAATCTAAATGGGATCTTTAGGCAATGGAGCATAGCTCCATATAAGAACACAGCAGATATTATTAGCTGTGATTAGGAAAGACTCTTAGACATAACCAAAGCAGAGAACACTGGGCAGAAGCATTTCAGCTGAAAGTCTCTGCCTCTCTGTCTTTCCTCCTCTGAAGGCAAACAGAAACACTGACATTGTACTGTTTGAGAAGGTGGGGACAGAGTTCACTCAGGTGTGGCAGTAGAGATGCCAAGCCTTTTCATGGCAGAGTTTCTCATTAAAGGTTTAAATTGAGTGGCCAAAGAATACTTGAAATTCTTCTAAAGACTATGAGTAATGCAGACATAGAGACTTTTATTTCCCTCTTAATCTTCCAGCCAGACTTTGTCTTTGCCAAGAAGTAGATATCACTTTGAGAATAAAACAAACAAGCAAACAACAAAAACCAAAACCCTGAAATGGCATGGTTGGAAAGGAGTGACTCATAAGATCTTTTTTTTTTGGGGGGGGGGTCTGGTCATGGGGCCTGAACTCTGGGCCTGGGTGCTATCCCTCAGCTCTTCAGCTCAAGGCTAGCACTCTACCACTTGAGCCATAGCACCACTTCCGGTTTTTGTTTTTTCTGCTTATGTGGTGCTGAGGAATCGAACCCAGGGCCTCATGCATGCAAGGCAAGCACTCTACCACGGAGCCACCTTCCCAGCCCAGTCATAAAATCTTCTATGTGAAATTTCCCCCTTGACACGGCAAGCTTTTTTCCTAGGATGGTGCCCCAGGTACTCACTCTGTCACTAGAGTATACTTACTCTAAATGAGCAGAACCCAAGTCACAGGGCATCTCTCTATTTTTCCTGAAAATGTTAATAACACAAAATCTTCCTATTTCTGCTTCTTTGGCGGAAAAAATTAAAAGGTCTAATTTGAATGTAGATGTATTCCTGCTAGGAGCAGAAAAATGCTGGAAGTATTCCAACTGGGAAGGAATTGAATTTTTATATCATCAGGTCTCTGGCAATGTCTTCTTTGAAGACAAGGATGCTTGAATTCAACACATCAGTGTATGAGTACCAAACATCCTTATCAGTGTTACCCCTTCCTTATTTCTTCCCTATTTGTCCCAACCCAACCCATCCCCTCAGGATATCCGGTTCCATATTTCCCCGCTGTGTTCCCATTTCTCCTTGTGTTATTTCTTTTTGTTTCCATATCTGTGTTATATCTTTTGTTTCCTTCATCTCTTCATGGATAACAGTTAGAAACCTAACATTATATTAATTTATTCATTCTCAATCCTTCACTTTTCTGTGAGCTGGAATCATTCTGTGTTTTCAGATCAGAGAGGAAGGGCAGAGAGAAAAGAGCTAAGTCAGGTTGGTCCAGCTTGTTTCCAAAGGTTTCAATCCACCAAATTATCATCTTAAATCCCAAACCATACCACACCTAAAAATAAGGGCAGGTTATGTAATTAAAACAAGGGATTTAAATTTATTTAAGAGTTTAAAATCCAGGGAAAATTTTTGGGCTCAAAAGCCATTAATCCATTGTCCCCAAAGAAGCTTCACAAGTGCCAGGCAGAGAAGAAAATGAAGAGATGAGAAGAATCTTAGGTTGCCTAGTAAGTCTTTGCTTACAGCTAGGTTATTTCAAAAAAATCACATGTTAATAGATTGCTTTCAGAATGAGATACTGGTTCAATTTTATGGAAGAAAATGGCAACATTACATAGTTGTTCTTGCAAGAGAACTTCAAATATTGTTACCTCTTGAGAATTGTGTTTCAAAGCCATTTGTTGTTTGTTATTTAAAAACAATTGGAAAATATTTATAACAAGTAAAGTTAAAATGAAATTAAACATATTTGGAGTAGCACTTTATCTTAAATGTCTGTTTTTAAATCAAAACATAGAGATGTTTTGGAATCTAAATATTCTTATCTATACTTTTTATACTATGAACACAGTAAAGTTTTGCTTATGCGATTCTACCATGTAATTTATCTAAACTGTTAAAAGTATTTATGAAAATAAGTATAATGATCAGATTTTAAAATTTGTATAAAAACATGTTACAGTTTTTGTTTATATATGTAGAAATTACATGCATAAATCTGTAATCTTTATCTTACTTCATCTCTTGAAGCACTTTTAGAAACTAGTAAGAAAAAATGTAGCTCTTAAGAGTCTACAATTTTAGTATATGCACAGAATTTTACTGTCAATGATCTTCTAAGTGTTTATTCTATTTGTTTCAAAACTAAGAGAATTTATAAGAATGGTGTATTTTATAGAATCAAGAATAAAATTTTAATGAAATGATTCTACATATCTGTAGAATATCTGTTTATAACACTTTAATTTCTACTTTGGAATTGACCGAATAGAAAACAGAATAAATTATCTTTTATAGATACAGAGTATCATTGGACCTTTTGTTCAGATTATAATTTTACTGGGTCAGATATGTATGCTAAAATTTTCCTGTTTCTAAAGCAAAATAAAAGAAGCCTATAATCATGGTTGGAGCAATTTTTTTCCCTTAGACAAAGGTTGTAGATCAAATAGTGAATGAGCCAGTTTGGATGTAGCTAAGATTTTTACAACATTCCAAAGCCTTTGTTAAGTTTTGAGAATGGTAGCTGCTGTGCTAGATCCTTTCTATTCATTACCTCATTCAACTCTTACTGATAACATGTTATCAGTATTTTTAGGTGTGAAGCACAAGGTGTCAGGTCCTATAGTTCAATAGCTACTCCACTCTAGTGCCTGGACTATGAAATCTTGTGAAACTAAGAAACGTTCATACTGCAGCCTGAGTTCCTTCTGTTGTCTGACAGGACTCTGGGATTTGGAATGCTACAATAGGCCTGAGTTGAAAGGAGAAACTTTCACAGCATAGGGTTATACTTCAATACTCACTTCTCAATTGTAAAGGGGAATCATTTACAAATATGTGTAGGGAATCCAGTTCTTCAGAGGCATGGAAGAGTATTTTAAAACTGAGATGTTATGTAGCACTGCCATCTGCTGGAACAAGTGACAACACTCTTTGGAAACTGTTGGTGCCTCCAACTTGTTCAACTCAGCAAGGCTGGCCTTTTAAGTTGGGTTTTGTTATCTTTTTTTCTTCATTTCTTTTCAATAAATAGCTTATAAACAAGCATTTCCTACAGTTTTTTTTAATGATGTATAGAGCATCTGAATTGAGAAGTTGGATGTCATCAGAGAACAAAGCATTATGGTACAGGATAAGAAAGATGAGCCTTCAAATGGCACCCGTGGAAAAAACTACACTGAAGAATAATTAACAAGTGGGTATTTTGACTCTGGCTACATTAACAGTAGTTCACAGAAACTTCTATTTGGCTATTTAAACTCTGAACATGTACCATTAATAAAGGATAAAGGTAATTTGGATAAACCTCATACTGCCTGTGATGGGGAGAAGAAATGACTTTCTTATGAGGCTGCTTTAACCTGAAGAGCCTCAAGGAGCAGAGGACACTCCTGTCTTCTAATATGTCAAGTTATAGCAGCAGATACTGGGATTTGACTGCTCATTTAACCTACAGTAATAGTGACTGGCAATCCAACCTACCTATTTGTTCAAATTAATCTGAAATTAATATTGTCCTTAGACTACTAAACTGTATCAGCATTACATTCTCATTTTTTGCTTATGCCATTTTTTTGCCATTTGAAGTAATGACTTTTGGCGGATACAGACTGCCAGTTAGACTCTTGAAGTATCTAAAGACAGATGGACCAACACGGGTACATAATAGACCAAAAGTCTTCAGTTAAATAGAAGGAACAAATTCTAAAAATACACCATCTCTAAAAAACAGAATTATCTATTTAGACAGATAGGTCTAACTCCAAATTCTGTATCATTAATAAAAATCATTTTCAATCTCAAGTGTTCCTGAAGTCATCTCTAAATATCTGTAGGCTTTGGATAGATAAGCAGAATCACTGACAAATTTAAAACCAATAGACATTTTTTTTGCTCCATATTTAAAGTAGTAGCTTTGTGTACTGATTCTACACTTAGTATATCTTGTCTACTTCAATGTTAGTGAATTTAGTTGCTGAATAGACCTTAAGCTGTTAATTTTTTGGTATTTTTTTCCTTATTTATTTACAAACAGAATCTTGCTATGTACTCCAGACTAGGCCAGAATTGGAATCTTCCTGAGAGCTGGAATTATAGAAGTGTACTCTCATGCTCCTGACCCATTTTTTAAAATTAGAGACTTATAGTAGCATCTGTATTTTGATATTGTGACTGTATTTTATTCTGTATGACGTCACTACCTCAGAACATAACATGAATTATGTCATTCCTAGTAAGAGAAATGTCATCCTGATTTCATAGGCAATAAAATGTTTGAAATACATGTTTCTGCAGAATCAGAATTCAGACCTGAATTTTGAAATTCTTGAATAGAGATCATTTGCTTCCTGGTGCTCTTCCTTCTTGAACAGAAAAAAAAAACAAGCAATGATTTAAGCAAAACAAAATATTAAGAAAATGTAATTCATGAGATGCATAATATATTTTTGGGCAAAAAACACTTTTAATGCCTTTATTATCATTTCAATTTTTCGTCTTTATATATGGAAAAACTTCTCAAATTGTTAACTCTGAGGTGTAGGATTGGGGTAGGGTGAGAAGTGTGCTCGTGGTAAATGAATATATTTCAGCATTAAAATTTTTTCAATGAACATTCTTTTATTTACAAATCCAAAGCCACAATAGGAACTATTTAAATAGAAATACCAAGAAGGGTAATATACACATAATAATTTAAAGAGCAACACTGGAAATGTGGATAATTAAACATATCATTCTTTTTTCTACTAATACAGTGGTGAATAATAGTAAAGTCCATCATCAAAGAAACAATTAGAACAGGCAGATTACAATATACAAATCTTAACGTATTCCTGGAGGCTCTACAGAAGAAAAAATAACCATCTGAAAATCTTAAGACAAAAGAAAAAGCTTCATAGAAGTCAATATGGAATACAAATATAGTTAACCAAAGGGTATAATTGTAGATATGCAAACTCAACCCAAAAGTAATATGGTGAAATCTTGATAGTCTGGAACTAGAGGTTAGTGACTCCTTCTTTATTCATATGCTTATCACTGCTCTTAATTTCTCAATTAACCTCTTTATCTCAATGATTTTAACTTAAAAATATAGCAATACTAATTGTAAGGAATAAAGTACTATTATAGATTCAGTGTAGATAATGTTCCAAGTTCAAAAATGCCAGAAAAACTGGAGATTCATGATGTTCCAATATTTATTTGTCACAAATTTTAGACCTGTAATGAACATTTTGGAAAACAATAATTCTGGCTTCCCATGAATATACTACTATAGTATTTAAAATCTGACAAAATCTATTTTCTCCTGTTCTAATTTTTCTTTTATTGAGGTCACCAGAGATGATAAACTTTTACTATGATTTTCCCCCAAAAAAGAGGATTCTTTTAGGTGACTATCAGGTTGATAGTTAAAAGTCAAAACAACTGTAATTGAAAAGTTCTATAGTTTGTAAGCTATGTGGTTATAAGTTTAGCTAACGTACTTTTGCAGTCCTGAGTGTTTTGATCTAGTTAGCAAGCACTTCTGCACAAGTGTGGCCAATTGGTAGGCAATATGGGATGTTACACAAAATGTAATGAAAACATAAGTAACAAAGTGTAAAATTATACCCATTTTCAAAAATGATTACAGGTGAACTGTTACTATTTCTTAATAGACAATAGTAATTTAAGTGAAAATAAAATAAGCCAGGTGCAAGTGGCTCACACCTGTAATGCTAGCTACCCAGGAGGCTGAGATAGATCTGAGGGTCACAGATAGAAGCTAACCGGGAAAGAAAAGTCCATGAGATTCATATCTCCAATGAACCACCCAAAAGCTAGAAGTGGAGCTGTGGTTCAAGTGGAAGAGTGTTAGCCTTGAGCAAAAAAAGCTCAGGGATAGGAATTCCCAGGCCCAGAATTCAAGCCCCAGGACCCTCCCTCCTCCATACACACACACACACACACACACACACACACACTAAAGAATGAAGGAAAGAAGGAAAGAAAGGAAGAAAGGAAAGAAAGAAAGAAAGGAAAGAAAGAAAGGAAAGAAAGAAAGAAGAAAGAAAGAAAGAAAGAAAGAAAGAAAGAAAGAAAGAAAGAAAGAAAGAAAGAAAGAAAGGATACTGGGTTCTAAACGGAACAATGAGTTAAAACAATGAACATATGGGAATCACAAATGGAAGTAATTTCCTACAGTATGTACTTAAATAGAAAGTTGAAGTTCACAGAGAGCAGTGAGAAATTCTGTATTTTCTGGATCTATCTTTTGTGCCCTCTCATAGTACTCAGCAGCTTGCCTCTTCTCCCCCTCAAGCCTGTAAACAAAACCCAAGGCACCTAAGCTCTGCACATCCAAAGCGTTGCAACACAGTCTCTTCATAGCCAGTTTCTTCAGAGCACCTGTCAGTTTTGTGCGCAAGGAAGACCTCTCTTTGACCTTTAAGGCTTCTAAATAATGATGGATGGCAGTACTTTCTGATTTACGGTGGAATTCCTGAAAGCGGCCATAGTGGTAGTGGATCTGATGTTTGTGGTCATCGGTTATGTTCTCCAGAGCGAGGGCTTTCCGGAAAACATCTTCAGCATTGCTGTACTGGCCTCCCTCTGAGTACATGTTGGCCAGGTCAGTGTAGGCAAATGCAAACATCGAATCTCGGTCCACAGCTGCTTTGAAATGGAAGATAGCAGATGCAATTAGCTCATCCACCTTTAGTTTATCCTTTCCTTTAGGTCTGTTGCGAGTTGCTTTCTTGATCTGGATCATTTGTGCCCGGTAGCAAAGTCCCATCTGGTGATGCAGGAAAGAAGAGGTTGGTGTCACCTCTAAGGCCTTTTTTAAAAGTTCAAGGGCTTTGTCCCAGGCATTTTTCCTCCTGTAGAATTTAGCTGCATAACGAAGGACATAAGGCTGGGACGATATTTGGTCTAGAATCTCTTCAATATACCTCTCTCCTTCTGCTTCTGCATGTACATCTTGAAGTTTCAGGGCCAGAAAAACCTTAATATAGCTGTTATCTGGGTTAAGGGTTACAGCCTTTCTGAGAGGTCCCAATGAAAAGCTCTTGACAAATCCTTCTCGATCAGAATCATCTAGTCGATACACTGTGATGGCATAGCCGATGTTAAATTCTGGATTGTCAGGTTCTACCTCCAAAGCTTTCTCAAAAGCTGCTTTAGCCTTTTGATAATACTTTCCTCCAAATTTCAAGAGGGCCCATCCTTTCTCACAGTCAATCTCAGGACGGTCCACCTTGTGTGAAGAAGAGCTGGAGAGCTTCTTGCAGACGCCCCCAACCTTGTCTATGTACTTCTGCACTTCTTCAAACCGTTCCATGTGGTAAGACACCCAGGCATAATTGCCCCACGTGACCACACTGCGCACATCTTCTTCCTCTGAGTGTTCTCTCTGGATGATTTCTTCTGCTTGTTCCAAGCACGCTAGTGCATCTTGATTTTGACCCTTTAGATGTTTCACATAGGCTAGCAAATTATAAAGAGCAAGTCTCGATTTTGTGGTAAGAAATTCAAGCTGTTGCCCAATGGTATCTTCCACATCAAACAGGTCAATGTCTTCTTTAAGTAAGTTCCAGGTAAAGTGGCATTCCAGCTCTAGCAGAATGGGCTTCAAGGAGTCTTCAGAAGTTTCACTAGAAAACACAAAGTTCTTTTTAATTTTTTTGGGGGGATCCGGTCGTGGGGCCTGAACTCTGGGCCTGGGCACTGTCCCTCAGCTCTTCAGCTCAAGGCTAGTGCTCTATCACTTGAGTCACAGTGCCACTTCCGGCTTTTTTCTTTTTGCTTATGTGGTGCTGAGGAATCGAACCCAGGGCCTCATGCATGCAAGGCACGTGTTCTACCACTGAGCCACCTTCCTAGCCCCTCTTTTTAATTTTTGAGGAAATAAAAGGAAATAGATGATCTTCTAAACCTTAAATGGATTTGCTCATTGCATAAAAACCAATTTTAGGTCCTATTTAATTCAAAATTAAAGCCCTGGGTTTCAATAGCTTTTACATTTACAATTATATGTAATTTACATTTCCTTTATGTCAGTTATATTTCTTTAATAGTCTATTTATTGTTAAACCAGCTCTTACGAGATGGCAGAACTTCCTATTGTATAGGATGCCTATTTTCTTCTAGTGGTCACTAACCCATGAAAGTTAGGAATGAGTGCTTGTGTATGTGTGAATTTCATTTTATAAAACAAATTCCATTTCTACATTTTGAGTAGAAAAGAGAGGGGATAAGAGAGCAGGGATATAGCTCAAATGGGAGAGAACTTGCCTACCAAGCACAAAGCCTTGGGTTCAATCCTTGGGTTAATGATGAAAAAAAACAAGATTAAAACAACAACAACAGCAGCAAAGCTTTGGGGGTTGGGTGTGGTACTACATGCTGTAAGGTGGAGATGGGAAGATCATAATTTAGCTAAAAAGTTAGGGAGCCCCTGCTTGAAAAATAAACTAAAGTAAAAAGGACTGGCATGGTATGGCTCAAGCTATAGAGTGCTTGGAAAGCAAGAACAAACACCTAAGTTCAAACTATTATACTGCTGAGTTAAAAAGGGGGGAGATGGAGAAGGAATAAGAAAAAAAAACACTGAAGGGAACAGAGAAGTGAAACCAATATAATGTTTTTTACAGAGAAAGGGAGAACAGAAGAAAGCAAGCACTGCAGAGAGAAACTAGTCAGGAATAGGTATACTGAGAAAGAGAGAAGCAAGTTTGAGTCAGACAAAAGTAAAGTAACAAATATTTAGAGACAGATAGGAAAAAGAAGCTAAGGTGGTTTTGATGTGAGTGCCACCCCCTTCCAACCACTGGGTTGCGAGCCAATAATAAAGACTAATGCCTATTGTTCTATTTTTATTGAAACACCCTGGTACCAGGCACAGTGTTATTTGTGCAAATTCCAGTGGAGAGCAGTGGGAATGCAACAGTGAAAGACACAGCCTTTTTAATGTAGGGCTAGCTCATAAGGACAGTTACATGAAGCTCACAATATAATCAAACAGCCAGATGCAACAGTTCCTTCCAATGAAGTCCCATGGAAGTGACTTAAGGAAAGCTACATAGTTCAGTGCTATGAACACCTGTGGCTTCTACTCATCACCTGCAGACAGGGAAAAACCAGGATCCCTCTTAAGAGGTTTCAAAAGAACTCCTTAGTTGTCTGTGTTCATCTGAGTTGAGAGGGGCTAGCCAGCCCCAAGTCTAAGAAGTGGAAAGGCAGAGATATCCTCAGACCTAACAATTTGTTCGGATGGCCCAATTAATAGTTAATTTTGGTGAAATGGCACTTAATGAAACCTCTTTCTCTTTCTTTCTCTCTCTCTCTCTCTCTCCCTCTCTGTCTCTCCTCTCTCTCTTCCCTCCAAAAACTTTGAGATGGTAGAATCATAAAAACTTTGTGGTTTCTGGGCTGGGAAGGTGGCTCAGTGGTAGAGCGCTTGCCTTGCATGCCTGAGGCCCTGGGTTCCATTCCTCAGCACCGCATAAGCAGAAAAAGCCGGAAGTGGCACTGTGGCTCAAGTGGTAGAGCGCTAGCCTTGAGCTGAAGAGCTGAGGGACAGCGCCCAGACCCAGAGTTCAGGCCCCACGACTGGACCAAAAAAAAAAACAAAAACTTTGTGGTTTCTGATTGCCATGTTTCCAAACCCTTGGGAAGAATCTAATACAAGAAAGCAGAACCTTGATAGGCAGAGAAGCAGAATAATAAAATTTATCCCCCCCCCCCCATTACTCTGCTTAGGCAAGTTTGAGTTGAGTTTCTACTGTCTGCAACTGACCAAGTAATGATGGCTATACTTAGTTTTGTTTGCCAAGGGTAGTGGTGAGTTAGCTGGGAAAGACTTTCTAAAATTGGCACTGGCCCTAAGGAAGGGTCACAAGAAAGGTACAGACCAAAACAAACAAACAAACAAACAAAAAACTTGTTTAAGGCCTCTCTCTCTATAGACAAGTGCTCTATCTAATTGTATGGAAAGCCTTCTTATACTTGCTGATCCGTCTATTTCCCTTTGTGATCTTTAAAGAAATCCCCCTCCATTCCTCTTGTATGTACAACATATGTATTCACAGTATGGATCATTACATGTGCACAATTAGGGTAATTGTTTTTATTAATAAGCACTTATCTGACTCCATGTTGTGAACACCAAGCCATATTCTATTACAGTTAATATAGCAGCAAACAAGATGGAAGAAAGGTCTTTCCTAGAAGGACCTTCCTTCATTCTAGGAGGAATCGTTCTAGGAAGATTCCTTTCTAAGGGGAACGATTTAAAAATATAAATAAACATGCAAAAAATAGAAAATATAATCCCCGAAGGAAGAAATGCTAAGAATGAAAATAACACAGACAGACAGACACACACACACACACACACACACACAGAACAACGGACAAGCAACAACGAATCAGAAATCCAAATCAGTGATCCAGGGCTCTGTAGCCTTTGTAGAAAGTGGGCGACCGAAGTAAGACCTCAGTGTGGCAAGGAGGCGCTCACGAAAGGTCTGAAGCAGCACAGTCTAAACCATCGCCTCGTCCCCCCAGAGAACACTGGATCATTTCGGTTGAGATCACGGGAGGAACCCTGCCTGTCTAGGCAGTAAGTCGGGATGCAGGAGCCGGGAATCCCGCCCGATATCCTACGGTATCCTATATACGGTCAGTCCTTCCCGTAGTACCAGGAGATGGATGCCGTCACCTGTCCCCGCTGCGCGCAGTGAGGATGGACGGCTCCCCGCCGGCTAGCGGGGGGGGGGGGCGTGCTGGCCGGCTTCCCCGGACACGGACGCCTAGATCCCCCACCCCGCAATGGTGAGGTGCGGCGCAAACGAGCGGTGCGAGTTACCCGGGGGGCTCCCCGGAGGCGGCCGCCAGGAAGAGCTCCCCAAGGCCAGGCGACCCCTGCGGCGCCCGGCGGCGGCGGAGCTGCGTGCGCCGCCCGGGGAGCCGTTGGAGGGGGGGGGGGGAGAGGCGGGCGACAGGTGTCCGGAATGGCCCTGGGACGGGGGTCCCGGCGGGGTGGGGGGTCCCGGGCCGGCGAGGGGCTCTCTGCGGGTGCCTCGAGTCCGGCACCCTGCCCGGGCGGCGGCTGGCGAGCCGTCGGGAGGGGACGGGCTTGCCGTGGGGGTTGGGGTGTCGCCCGGCCACGCACCCAGATGCCCGGGGAAGAGGCGGGTTCCCGAGGGGACAGGGCGCAGCCCTCCTCCGGGACCCACGGGTCCTGAGATCCCGCGGGAAGCGCATCCCCCCCCACCCCCCACCCCCGACCCCGCTCCCCGGGGCCAGGGGCGCGGTTCCCGAGGTGGGGTGGGTGGGGGGGGGGTGAGAATGAACGTTAGAACCAGCGAGTGTGAAACAAAGGTGGCACGGGGCTGGGGACCCGGGGCGGAGGACAGCTTACCTCATGGTGGCTGAGCCCCAGGGCTTCCCCTCTCCCGCGCGGTGTCCTGGGGACCTGAGACCCTGGCCGGCGCGAGGTGGGCGGGGGGAAAGCGCCGGGGTGGGGGGAGGGGATGGGGCGGGGGGGGAGGGGGTGGCGGCCGCGCGTGCGCAGGCGCGCGCCTCAGCCAGGACGGAAGATCGCCTTTGTTTCAGTCCCGACCCCAGCGGGAAACGAAAACTAGAAACCGAATCTAAGTGCAGCTGGGCCTCCGCCCTTTGTGCCCTTGGCTCTTGAGCCTTGGGTGAGACCGCGGGATCAACTTGTTATTTCTAAAAGCAAAATTGAAAAACACAGCGCTTGTTAAGGATGTCCGTGTCTTCCCAGCTTTCCACGTCCTCAAGGGAAACGGAAATGCCGGCTTCCATCCCAGGCATTCGATGCTATTATTTCTGTGTTGGTGTTCATTTTCATGTTACTTGATGTAGTTGTGCAAAGGGGTTTCCATTGAACAAGTCACTTGAGCCATGTCACCCCCAACTATCGCTCTCCCTCATCTTTCCCAATCCGGTCCACACCTTCAAGTTCCCTGGTTCCCTTGACACGCAGGTGCATGGAAAATGATGACTGGATTTGCCAGCCCTTTTCCTCTCTCCTTCTTTCCCCCTTTGCCTACCCCTTCCCCACAAATAAACATATTTCGGCTTCCTGGTCATCATTTTGTTAGATCTATTTGAAGTAGAGGAATTTTGCTCCCAAAATGGACATGCATTTTAGGTTTGGTTGACAGACACAGTTGAATAGCTTTGCCAAGCGGTGGCCCCATTCCCAGCCACATTGTACCACACGGTTTTTCTGCCAGCCCTGGCTAGCTAGTCCTTTGTCTCATATGTCTCTATGAAGACAGGGCTGGAGAGCGATTGTGAACCTAAACCAAAGATCAGAAAGTCTCCTCCATTCTAAATTCAGCCACTTATTCATTCCACTAATTTTTATCGAACAACGACCAAGAGCCAGATGTTTGTATATTGTCCATGTAACCACGAACAAAACAGACAAGACCCTTATTCTCATGGAATTAATTTTTATTGGATTAAAAGTATCAACAAACACATGAAATATGAGATAACACTATAGAGAGAGTTGGAGTGCAGGATGTTTTACTATTGTAAGGATGACAGGGAGGAAAGGTTTCATGGGGAAAGTGACAATTAAGCAAATATCTGAAAGGAGAGAAGGGGCCTGTGCTGTGGATATGGACTGTGCATTGCACAGTGGGAAGATGGTGGGGCGGGGGGAGCATAAAGGTAGATTCCAAGGGCAGGGAGGCCTTGTACCTGGCATGTATGGATGATATGATGACAGTGGAGTGAATGAAGGAAAAAAAACACAAAAAAATGAGATCAGAAAGGAAAGGAGGATGTGGGTGGGCTCCACAGCCAGTGTAATACTTACCTCAGGAACCAGATTTTAGGAAAGGCATTGGAAGATTTACGTTGCATTAAATACATTAACCACAAGTTTCCCTCTTACCAAGAACATAGAAAAGTTTAATAGAGTGCTAATATTTGAAAAGTTTTCCAGCATGTTGATAGTTTGTCATTTTCGGTATTCCTACTTTGTTGTCTCCCATTCTTTTAGCTGTGTCTGGGTCAAGAAACAGACTTTGGGGGTTGGGAAGGTGGCTCAGTGGTAGAACGTTTGCCTTGCATGCCTGAGGCCCTGGGTTTGATTCCTCAGCATCACATAAGCAAAAAGAAAAAAGCCAGAAGTGGCGCTGTGGCTCAAGTGGTAGAGCACTAGCCTTGAGCTGAAGAGCTGAGGGACAGCGCTTAGGCCCAGAGTTCAGACCCCACAACCGGACCCCCCACACACAAAAAAATAGACTTTGTTTACGAATACGGAAGTGAATAGTAATGAAGCAATCAATCAGTGATAAAAACCAAAGGGAAAACATTTTGGCGCACTCCTTTCATTATTATCAATTTGAGTTCAGGAAAACACAAATCAAGAGCCTGGCACAAGTCCCACAATGTAGCCCGTTTTCTTTCTTTTCTGGAAGCTGGGAAAAAAAACAAAACAATACCCCAAAGTCAAGAAAGTAAAACAACTATGTGGGGAGAGGGGGTGGAAGAAGAGAAAAGGACAAAGGAGGTGGAAGAGCAAGAGAGTGAGAGAATAGGGACATTTTAGGATATTGAAGCAGCACGCGTGAGCATTTCCACCAGATGTCAGTAGCATCCCACAATTGTAACGAGAAATGGCTGCTGATGCTGCGAAATGGCCATTGAGTGGCACAATACCCCCCCCTCCTCTGACAGCCCTCCCTCATGTCTGCTGAGAATCACTGCCGCAAATAATACCTTCATTTTACATTCCTAGTTCAACTTCACATAGGAGAAGAGAAAACGAAGGCAGAACGCAAGTTGAACATGTATTGCAATTCAGGAAGTAGAGAAATTGTGTAAAAGGGTAGAGAACAAGGAAAAAGCCAGAGAAGGCTTAATCCCTTCAGCATGGATTTTCAGAGTGGAAATGGCTGGTAATCACATTTGATCTGATTGGGGATAAGACACACAGATGTTGGCAGAGGCTAATAATGGGTGCTGTGATGTGGTTATGATTTAAGTATGTCCTTCAACTGTTCCTTTGTGGACAAGTGGTCCTTAGGTGGTAAAACATTTAAGAGAAGAAATCTAGTGGGAGATTAGAAAACTGGTCCTTCCTTGCTTTCTGGCTTTCTCTCTTGTCACATGGTGTCTCCCTCCAACCCCCTATTTACCCCTCCATTATATGATGTACTCAGGGGGCCCTTGTCAGAACTTGTGCCATGCTATTTGGACCTAACTTCAAAAGAGAGCTAAATGAAGTCCTTTCCTTTATAAGTTAACCTAGTTTGCCATGGTAACAAAAGATGGATTAAGTCGTCTAATTTAGAGCAGGCTATAGTGATCAGTGCAACCACTGATCACAACACAGCTGCAGCTCTAGCAGCATAATGAGGGTGGAGACAGTGGTAGTGAGAGTGGGCCACAAGGCGGTAGAGCCTATACCGATATACAGATAGCAATTAATGGTAGTAGTGCATGAGGGGAGCTATAGTTTGGCTTGATTTAGGAGTCAATTTAAATAAGGACACCAACTCAGCTTTTTGTCATTTACATGGAAGGAACACATTCTTGAAACCCAGCTGCCAGTTTAAAGAGACTTCTTGGTAATACTTTGATATGGTCATGTGATCAAAGGTTGGCAACAATCTTGTCAGTGAAAAACGCATTTATCCTCCAGAATTTGCAATATTTTTATTTTTGTCTGCAAACATCCAGACAATACCACGTGCTAATCATTGAGCCACACATCTATTACTGAGAAGTACAGAAATACCTTTCAAGGTTAGCAAGTATGGGACAGGGAGGTGCTGTTACGTTAATAAGACATCCTACATAAGTGTGCTCCCTGAAGTTTGTAAGTCATACCTCACACAACCTAGTATTTTGTACTATTGGATTTTGCTTTCAGATCATTTCACATTTTTTTCATACCTTTTAATTAGATCAATATCAGCAAGTGACTGGAACAATGCTATAAAAATAATATAAAACAAAAGAAACTCCTTGGAACAGGGTGGGGGATAACGCACTTAGAAAATCAAGAAGCTGATCTTTGATTCTTTGCCCACTTAACTGTTTCTCTCATTAGATTCTAAGCTATGGGAGTTTTATGAAAGATGTCAGCTTGATGTTTTGAATATACAATACTGCAAACTTTTTTAATAAAAAATGTGTTAACTTAAAATTTTCTCTATATAAGATAGTGATTGGTTTTATGTGCAACAAATCTACTCAACAAACTTTTTTCTACTATGTAATCTTTATGCAATTATACTGTCTCCCTCCCTCAGCTTTTCTTCCTTCCTTCCTTTCTTCCTACCTTTCAACTCACTCTCTCTCTATACTTTATGAGTGTATTCAGTGTTATTTAAAATCAGAGTTGAGTTGTGTAGCAATTTATATTAAGTGAATTACATGCGTCTGAAACTATCCAAAAGCAGAACAGAGGAGTTAGTACATGTTAAAATAAATGCAACTGAAATATAGAAATGGCTGATGCTATATGACTTGAGGGCCATGTTTCACAGCCTTGTCAGAGACAGCAGCCAGGCTCAGAGCTCGCTCATAGTACTCTAGTGCTTTATGGATTTCTCCTTTCAATTTGTAAACTAACCCAAGAAGACTCAAACCTTCCAGGTCACTCTCATCTCTCTGAAGTTTCCTTAAAGCCAATTTCTCCAAAGAACGAATACTTTTCTCTCTCGCAGGGGATGCGAATTTTACTTCTATTGCTTTTAAGTAGTGCCTGATTGCATCCGCTTCAGATTTCTTCTGAAATTCCAAAAATCTACCGTAGTAAAAATGCCCCTCTTGTAGTATTTTTTGCTCCTGTGGTTTTATTAATAAAACTTTTTGAAAAGTGTCTTCAGCTTTTCTGTAATCTTTTGCTGTAACATACATATGTGCCAGGTGTAATAAAGCAACATCAAATGTGGGCCTTTGTTCAAGAGCAGACTTGAAATGAAATATGGCTAATCTGACCATATTGTCCAACTTTTCTTTGTCCTGCCCTATAGGCTGCTTATGTGTAGCTTCATTTATTTGGAACACTTGTGACCTGTAGCAGAGCCCTATCTGATGGTGTAGGAAGGCAGAGGAAGGAGTTTCCCGCAAGGCCCTTTGAAGGAGCTCAAGAGCTCTCTCCACACAGCCTTTCCTTCTGTAAAATTTGGCTGCATATCGAAGGATGTACATCAGGGAGGTTGTGCTGCCAAGAGCTTCTTCAATGTACATTTCTCCTTCATCTTCTTGGTTTACATCCTGGAGCTTCAGGGCAAGGAGGACCTTAATGTAAGTATCTGCTGGATTGAGCCTAACTGCCTGCCTTAGGGGGTTTAGAGAAATAACATTGTTGTGATCAGAATCCAGGCGATAGAGAGTGATGGCATATCCAGTGCTGAACTCAGGGTTTTCAGGCTCCACTTGCAGAGCTTTTTCAAAGCAAGCCCTGGCCCGCACATAGTTCTGTCTTCCGCA